TTTTTAAAAAGTGGCGAAGACCAGTACGTCTTGCTGCGTACGGCTGTGTTTTTGTCGTCGGTGCCTCGGTGTGAGTAGGCAGGCAGGAGGTGACTGATTCTTGATTTGTTTCCTCCCAGCGGTTTACCTCTGCAAGAGAACGATGCAGAACAAGGCCCGCCTGGAGCTCGCTGACTATGAAGCCGTGAGTACTAAGGACATCCTCCCCGGGAGGGTCATTGAATGAACAGGAATAGTGCTCACGGTCATTTCAGGCCTCCCTCAGCTTCCTCCATTCGTGGGCTGTAAGGGTCGGATTTTCAAGGGACCGGGTAGTGGAAGACTTAATAAATCTCTGACTTGCTTTCTCTCATTCTCATTGACGACAATGACATTCTAAGTGCACAAACTCAGAGTAGAAGGGGGAGTATATCTTATTTGCAAAAATGGGCTTCAGCCCGGCCGGCGTGACTCAGTGGTGGGTGTCAACCTAGGAACCAGGAGGTCACAGTTCGATTCCAGGTCAGGGCACATGCCCGGGTTGTAGGCTCCATCCCCAGTGTGGGGGGTGCAGGAGGCAGCCGATCCATCATTCTCTCTCATCATTGATGTTTCTCTCTCTCTCTCTCTCCCACTTCCTTCCTCTCTGAAATCAATAAATATATATATATATTTAAATAGGCTTAAGTGTAAACACTTTAGATACATGTTTATTATAGTGAAGCTATCCAAATTTAGAGAATTGAACAGCATTTACACCGGGAAAGTAGATTATGCAAAACTTTCCGGTGGGTCACCATCAGCAGATTCAATTACTCTGATGTCATCTGTTCAGGTAGCTGCTGTGTTGTGATTTACTGGGATTGAAACACTGACTGGAAAGGGTAGCAGGCTGGCAAACATTTTCACTGTTGTTGAAACCTGGGTGACTGATGGAATCAGCAGTAGAATCTGCAAAGTGGGCACAGATTCTACTATATGATTCTTAAGTCTCATGCAATTGGATACATGCTCTATCTATTCTAGATGCTGGTGTAGCACTTTTTTTTTATGCAAGGGAATTTTAGCCTTTTGGACTTTTAGCTGTGTTCTCTGAAGGCAGTTACTCATAAAAATTAATATTTCTGACGGGTCTCCCTGTGTTTCTCTATGGCTCGGAATGACTGTGTTCAGTAAACGTGACTTGTCATTCACCCTGGAGTGCATTTTCTACTTTAGAAAGTCTCTATTTGTTTTCTGTGTTTTTAAAAAAATATGTTTTTATTGATTTTTAGAGAGGGAGGGAGAGGGAGATATGGAAACATCAATGATGAGAGAGAATCATGGATCAATGCCTCCTGCACGCCCCCTACTGGGGATCAAGCCCGCCACCCGGGCATGGGCCCTGGCCGGGAATCGAACCGTGACCTCCTGGTTCATGGGTCGATGCTCAACCACTGAGCCACGCCGGCCGGGCTGTATTTCTCTTCTTGATGAATACATATGGCGGATAAACTAGAAGGGGAGAGGGACGATGAACGGCGGGATGTCTTCACCGGTGCTGTACTTTGCAGGAGAGCCTGGCCCGGCTGCAGAGAGCGTTCGCCCGCAAGTGGGAGTTCATCTTCATGCAAGCAGAGGCACAGGCAAAGTGAGTCCCCGTGAGTCTTCTGGAAGCTTCCTTCCGGTTGCCAGGGGACGTTTAGCCTTTGGGGCTGAGCGAGAGGGGCTGGACGCGGCCCTTTGTTCGGGGAGGCACCGTGGTCAGCGCTCCTGACGGCTCTTTGTTCCGCTGTTGGCAGAGTGGACAAGAAGAGGGACAAGATTGAAAGGAAGATCCTCGACAGCCAGGAGAGAGCTTTCTGGGACGTGCACCGCCCTGTGGTAAGCCATCATTCCCCCCCACCCCAGCCTCCACACATCACCCTCGCCTTCGGAAAGTGGGGGTCGCCCCGGGAAAGCGAGAGAAGACGATTGTAACCCCATGATTTCCCCCGAAGTCTTGGAAAATTACTTAAAGATTGCCACTTTTGTGTAAGATGGCCAGGGTTCAGGTGCAGAATCTATATACATAAAAGCCTAAGCGACTGTTCAACTGGTCGCCTGGTAGCTATGACACGCACTGACCACCAGGGGCAGATGCTCCAACCGGTAGGTTAGCTTGCTGCTGGGGTCTGGCCAGATGGGACTGAGCGAGATGGGCTGGACACACCCTGGAGCCCTCCCGCAGTCCCTCCCCGGCCCTGATCGTGCACCAGTGCAAGGGCCTCTAGTTTAATGTATAAAAATGCATTTTTTCCACCGTGATATCACTTGCTTACTTACTCTCGGCATTAGAGTTGCTTGATCCTTTCAAACACTCGAAGGAAGGAAACACACACAGGGGTTGGGCCTAAGCCGTCAGTCGGACATCCCCCGAGGGCTCCTGGACTGCGAGAGGGCGCAGGCTGGGCTGAGGGACCCCGCACCCAAGTGCATGATTTTCGTGCACAGAGCCTCTAGTTATTAATAAATAACAGGTCCCCGGCATCACAGGAATCAAGATTGATGAGAATACCTTGAAATTGTCCTCTCGATTATCTTCAGGTTCAGACCAAAATAGGCCTGCCTTCCAAAAATTTGTTTCAGACGCAGCTATGTCAATTTCAGATAGCAGTGCAGTTGTTAAATTCCCTGTTGAGTTTTTTTTTTCCTCTTTCAAATTCACA